GTGTCTGTGGGGGCAGCAGTGCCAGGGGCACAGGGCCAGCCCCGCACACTGCGCATCAGGGGCTGGGGCTCGTCCAGCCTGGGCTCGTCCTTACCAGGCAGTCGCAGAACCTGAAGGGCTGCTCCGTCTTCACCAGCTGCTCCAGGTCCCTCCTCTGGAGGAACCTTGCAGCCCAGAGCAGCGCTTCCCGAGCGGCCTGCAGAGCAGCAGACACAGGGACATGGCACCACAGCCCAGGGCACAGCACCTGCGTCCCTGCACCGAGGCCGGCAGGAGGATGGAGCCCTTGAGGCCCCAGGGCAGGAGGCAGCCCAGCCCCTGCCCCGGGAACACCAGAGCCCACCAGTGCTCACCTCTGCCACGCGCTGGTTCTCGTCCTGCCAGCGGAAGAACAGGGGGACCAGGCTCTGGTGCACCTGCATCTCCCAGAGCCGCGTTCCCTTTTCCGCCTCCAACTCCATCACCTCTTGGAAGAGGCGAATGGAGAGCAGCTGCACGTGGCTGTTGTCCTGGGGCCAAAGAAGAGACAAAGACCTCAGCACCGCCTGCTCCAGGACCACCAGGCCCAGGCCTGAATCTCCCCCAAGTTTCCTGGCAGCACCCAGTGCCTGTGGCTGGGGGCACAGAGCCTTACGTGGTCAAAGACTGGCCGGAGCGCCTCAGCCAGCCTCGGGGCAGTGGGGCTGAATCCTTCCCTGCCTTCCTCATCCCGGAGCACATTCCGGAAAATGGAGAGGGTCATCCTGACCAGCTCTCCATCTCCATCACGCAGCAGCTCCAGGAGGTGCTCAGACAGGCTGCAGATGCTTTTGGCCTGTGTGGAACACAAGGCTGTGCTGTGAAGCCCTGAACAGCTGCCCCACCACCACCACCCTGGCACTGCAACCCCAACTGCCTTGCCCAGCCCCAGGCTGCCCGTGTGGCTTCAGCCCCTGCCCCCTTCTCACCATGGAGGGATCCACGCTGAGCACCAGCAGCTCTCGCAGAGCCAGGCGCCGCCTCTCTGGGCACGGGCTCTGCAGGTGCCTTGCCAGGATCTGCACCTGGAGGGGAGAGGGGGACACTTGGAGAGCTGCCAGAGCCAGCAGGTTTCCCTCAATGGCTCAGGGGGCCCAGCAGAGCCGGCTTGAGGGACCACAAGAGCCCTGGAGGGCTCAAGCCTTGGCCACAGGGTGCTTACTTCATCTGCGCTGGGGACACCTTTCTGCTCCAAAACGTCCAGACTGGGAGCATCAGTCACACTCTGCATGGCCATGCAGTCAGTGTTTCCAGTGCCCTCAGTCGTGGCGTCAGCCTCTGCCCTGACATCAGTTGGAGAGGTGTCAGAGCTTGTCTTGGTGTCAGCCAGCGCGGTGTCACAGGTGGCTGTGCCATCGAGTGGTGCCATGACAGAGGTGGCTGAGGTGTCATCCATAGGCGCTGTGTCGGTGGTTGCTGCGCCCTCAATCTCTGCCACGTCAGGGCTGTCTGTGCCATCAAGATCTTCTATGACACAGCTGGCTCCACAATCAATGGCTGCCATGTCGGTGTTTTCTGTGACACTGGTCACTGCCATGTCCGAGGTTGCTGTGCTATCAGCTGGTTCCATGTCACCGCTGGCTGCACAGTCCATGGGTGCCATGTCACCGCTGGCTGCACAGTCCATGGGTGCCATGTCACCGCTGGCTGCACAGTCCATGGGTGCCATGTCACTGCTGGCTGCACAGTCCGTGGGTGCAGAGCTGACATCAGGCTCCCCCTCGAGCTCGGCTGCGCTGGTGTCAGGCTGTGCCACGAGCTCGGGCGGTGCGGTCGTGGCTGTTCCGCGCCGAACTCCCACGAATTTCAGCAACGTCTGCAGGAGAAGAAAGGGCAGGGAAGGGAGGGAAGTGGCATGGAGTGCTGTGACAGCGGTGCCAGGCAGAGCAGGGACAGCAGGCCCAGCCCAGGGGGGATGGCTGCAGGTACCTGAACTGCCCTGCGGAAGCGGCCACGGGCGCGGTCCTGCTCTGCTGGGCGGTCCCGGCCTGGATCTGGCAAAGAGCGAGCGCAGTCAGAGCTGAGGGGCTGCGGGAGAGGCCGGAGAACACAGCCCAGCCCTGCGCTCCACAGGCAGG